CCCGCCCCGCCGCCTCCGGCCGGGGCGCCCGGCTGGGTTTGGGAGCGACGGGACGCCCCTTTCCCTTCGGACCGTCGAGCCGGTGGTTATTCCCGCGGGGGCGACGCCGGCTCCGAGCTCGTGGCCGTCCCACACCGCAGCCCTACTGGTATTCGTCCTGCTTTCGAAGCCAGAGACCTTTAACCCCAGGTTAAAAAGGTTAAAAAGCCTAATTTGGGAACTAATTAGGTTAGAAAGACTAATTTGGGAAGGGTCCCGGAGGTGGGAAGATTTCCGAGAACTGGCCCGCGAGCTGGGCTGTCTCGGCCGGGGGATGCTGGCTGCCGCAAGGGAGGAATTGGGAGCAAACCAGGAAATTCTGGCGCGCCGCTGGGCGAATTTGGGACGCGCGGGCTCGGGGCCGTTCTCATGCCGTTGCTCAGGGACGGCGTCTAGGAAACCCGGGGCAGGTAGGAAGATGCCTAAAAACTATGGAGCTGCACCAGTCTGGGGAGAAACTGGATCAGGGAAAAGGCCTGGACCTGGAAAAGGATGACGGTGCGCAATAGGGTAGAGGTACCAAATCGTGCGAGGTCTGGAGTAAGGGACAGAGATTTATTCCTGGCAGCGCTCGCTCTCATCGAGGTTTTGGAGCTTTTTCAGATGGTTTTGTGGCTGATCCCCCAGCATCCTCCCACTCGTGACATAAAAGCCCTTGCTCGGCCTCCCGGGGGGCCAGCGCCCCGCCGCCCCGTCTCTGCCCTCAGGAAAGGACCCGCGTGGGGGTCCCCAGCAGCTCCTTGTTGCTCCATGGGGCTGCCGCCCCCTTCCCAGCGCCGTGCGCCTGTGGGTGGGCTTGCACACCTGGAGCCTCGGGCTTTGGTAGACGTGTCCCCTTCCTGGTTTCCCCCCCCACTTTATTATTTATTTATTTATTCATTTATTTAACCCCGCTCCCTTTGCCAGGAAGACACGGTGCAGAATTGGAGCCTGGGTCGGGGGAGAGGAGTTCTCATGCACTTGATGCATGCCCTGGCCCGGAGCGATGGGATATGCCCCCGTGCTCGTTGGCATAGGGGGGATGCTGGATCGTCAAAGCAGTCACCTAATGAGCCCTAATGCTCCCTGAGAGGCAGGCGTGGAAGCTCAGGACTTGAATGTGAAGGTTTTGAGGTCCCACTGCGGGGGGGGTCCCTTGCCCTGGGACGCTGACGGCCGGAGCCGCGCTCCACCGCGGC